TTCCGTTTCCTGCACTGTCAGTCTTTTGCCTTCCTGCCTACAGCAAACCTACAAAAAAAATTTCTTGAGAGCAATGTTAAGCAACCAAACCTTTTATAAAACATGTCAAGATTAATTGCTAGTTTCACTCATGAGCTGTGTAGACTGTTTCCTAAGATTCCCACCTTATTAGAGACAATGATTCATATTCCCTTTCTTGGCAAAACATCTGCTTCTTTGCAGATATTCCCATCAATAATGTAGGCAGTGATGGGGTTCTGCCAACCCTGAACTCACCGAGAAATTCAAAGAATAAAATCCTTTCCAGAAACTCTTTGGTCTTTGGTACCTTAGACAGCAAATATTTGATGCTTTGGTGCTTGAACTCCCATTGTAGTTAACTACACTACAAGAATGATCTGAATCCCCAAACTGGCTTTTATTTAACTCACTTTGGAAAGCTGTTAATATGTGTTTCTGGATATTCGTGTCCAGCTCTTCTCTTCTGTGATCTTATAGTGCTAATTCTGAAACTTCTGTGACCTGAAACAATTTCTTGGCCTTTTCTTCATGTGCTGTTGTGGAAGATACTGAGACTAGCTGTTTCAATGTCAGTTCCCAGTTCTACACCCCCAGCCCCACCACTGTCTTTTATTATTTTTTTTTAACTTTAAAAACAAAACAACTTAGGGGCTGGGGATTTAGCTCAGTGGCATAGCACCTGCCTGGCAGGCATGAGGTCATGAGTTTGATTCCTGGTACGGGAACCACCCCCGCCCCCCCAAAAAAGAAAAACTAAACAACTTTATTTCCTAACTTCCCTTCTATGAAGGGAAATCTGTGTGATGTAGTTCCAGCTAATTACAAATAAGTGAAGTTCTGTTGTGGGTTTTCTGAGATTTTGCTTTCCTTATACAAAGCAGAGGCAGAACTGGGAAAATCCCGTTTAATTCCTTCCTGTATTGGGACTGCAAACATAATACCGAGCTGCAGCAGTGAACTTGTCACAAGGAAGTGATAGAATCATATGCTTATTGACCTTACTGGCCCTGACATAGTCCAACCTCTGAGCTATTTCCAACAACAGCCTCTTACTTGTACAATTGGGTCTTATGAGGAAGACGTAGCCCTTCTTACTGAGCCACTCTGGGGCAGGGCTCATTTTTTTCAGCTGCAAATCAACTAATACAGTTATCACTGCATAGTGTGATAGAAGTCAGCTTTGCCTTTGGACTCCAAATGGCCCATTAAATTGACAGGGGATCCTCTAAGAATAAGATCTGAAGAGCAGTGAAACGATAAAATAGTTTTTATTTTTGCCATTCTTTAAGTGAAACTTTATGATACCTAGTACTGGGCCAGTGCTAATATTTCCCTTATATTTGCAGCTATGATAAAAGTTCATTGCAATTCTAACTCTTAGATATTAAGGATCTTCTCCAAATGGGTGGTCTATTGATGATTTCTGAGGAAAGAAACATAGTTCTAATCTTGGATTCTTTCTTATGACCTCCTCAAAATTACATATCTCATTTGCTTTACTCTCATTTCTTCCTTCCACCCAAGTTCCACCTTCCTTACATGGCAGGACTTAACTGGCTACACAAACTCACAGTGATAATTTCTTTCCCTAGTGTAGAATTGCATCTTGTGATCATTCATTTAGCTTTTATTCATATTGCAATTCTTTGTTCTGTTTGACTCTTCAACTCTCTCATGTTTCTTCAGAACAAAAATGTGTTTTATACTAAGTATGGCACACATAGCACCTTTCTTGCAGGAAGCATCCAAGAAGTGTTTGCTGAATGTGCGTACTTTGCTGTAGATCTAATTTGTATTCGCTCAAGCTTATTCAACAGCTCCCATGATGCATGTAAAATACCTGCCTATTTGGACTAAATAGTTCAGTGGTAGAGCACTTTCATAGCATTCTTGGAGCTCTGGATTTGATCCCCAGTACCACAAAACCAAAACCCAATTTTAAACATAAGCGAAGGGTGAAAGAAAAGTATGCACAGTATATAAAGTACACATAGACTCCTCAACATAAAACCATTCAAATACAGATAGAAAAGTGCAAATATTCTGATGAGATAATTCACAAAGAAATTCAAATGACCAAAAATTTCAATTAAAAAAATCCAACTTAGCTGATACTAAAAAGGTACAATTTAAAATAACCGTTTTTTTTTTTGTTTTCTTGGTTTTATTTTTTATACTTTACCTTTTAATGCACTTAATCCATTCTGATGCTTATTATACAATACAGAAATTAAATCAGTGATCTTATTATCATTTACATAGGTATCGATGATTCCCTACTGACTTAAATATCTTTTTAAAAAAGATGCCATTTTTTCACCTATCAAGTTAAAGCAATACATCCTTCTATTCCTCCTTCTCCTTCCCTTTCTTTTCTTCCTCCTCCATCTCTTTTCTTTTCTTTCTTTCTTTCTTTCTTTCTTTCTTTCTTTCTTTCTTTCTTTCTTTCTTTCTTTCTTTCTTTCTTTCCTTTTTCTCAGTAGTAGGGATTGAACCCAGGATTTTCACAGTGGGCTACATTCCCAGCAGCTCTCTCTCCCTGCCTTACTTTGTCTTAATTCTGATAGAATCTTATTAACTCACTCAGTTGCTCAGGGTGGGCTTAAACTTTTGATCCTCCTGCCTCTGCCTACCAAAGTGATGGGAGTACAAGCATGTTCCACCGTGCCAGTTCTGGCTCCAATTACGTTTCTAATTTGCTTTTCCAACAGGTGCAGTGCACAAGGCCCTTGCGTACACTGTTGATGGAGGAGGGCCACTGTCACTTATCTTGGAAAATGGGTAAAGAGATTTGAAAGGTTTTGTAGACCTGATCCACTTTCAGAGACAGTCTCATAGAAAAGAATAAAAAGGAACTACTTGTTCACTAAAACACTTTTTAAAAACATGAATTATTTAAAAAATCCTACCTATGGGGGATAGGTAAATTGTTAATCTGAGAGTAGGTTGCCATAAGAAAACAGTCAAAACATTTTCCAAGGGCTCTAAAAAATGGAGGGAGGGGAGGAAAACGTTCCTTCAAATCTGATGATAAAAAGGACAGGATAGGTTGCATTAAGGAAGAAACTAAGAATAATGTGATGTTTATCTGAGTATTTCCTAAGTATATTTTTTAGAAATGAAAGATCTAACGTTATTCTCATTGATTATGAAGTCATTTTAAACAAACATGACTTTCTAATACGTCTACATTTTGGTAAAAATCAACAGCAAAGATAATAGAACCTAATATTTCTCAAAGATAAAGATTTTCAGTCTTTTTTCTTTTTTTGGTGCCAGGAATCAAACATAGGACCTCGTACATGCTAGGCAGGCCCTTATGCCACTGAGGTACATCTCTGGCCCAAGATTTCCAGTCTCATACTGAGCACTACATGCAGATTCTTATTTACTTCTCCTCACAACCTTAGGGAGTATGTAGCGAGTCCCAACATGACTATTTTACAGATGAGAAAAACAGAATCGACAAGTATCAAATCACTCCACCAAGTGACATACTTACTGAGGGATGATGCTAGAATTTTAATTTACTTGGTTTTGATATAAATGACAAATTTTAAGCCACTTTTGGGGATAATTTCACACATTAGTAAATGCCCAGGCATATACTAATTTATGCAAGAGTCTTTGACATCATGGAGCATGTGGAGTCCCGTTGACCTCAATTCTGCGTCATGGTTGGAGCAAGTTCTTTAAATTCTCTGAACCCTAGGTTTTCCTCTAAAATGTGGGTGAGTACCTCTATCTAGAAGTATTACTGTGAAAGTTTAAATAGTAAAGTACCGATGCCTGGCACAGAAACACAAAGAGTGATCTTTAATGCTATCTCATTAGTAATACATTTTGGTTCAACAATACTAGAAGGCTGCATCACTGGTTATAAAGAAGAAATAGATGGGGATAAATTTTTAAACATAAAAAATTACATTATTTATGTTGCACTAGCTGTGTATGTATGTAGGATTTTTGGTAATGGCTTCTTAAAAATGAGATCATAGAATTCATACTTTTTTCACTGTTCTTCCTAAGCAATATCTTGTATCTTCCCATGTCAAACAGTACAACTCGAATGTGCTATTTCCAAGTTGTGTAATTTTTCAGTGTTACTATAATTTACTTGGCTGTGATAAGTTTGATTGTAAAATATTCATTTGCTTTCTGATCCTAATTCTTTTCATATATCTCTACAAATGGGTATTTTTTGCAATAGATTTTTAACAGAATGATGTCTGAGTAGGAAAGCATCTAATTTTAATAGTCTGATTATTTTTCACAAAGGTCAGAAAAATGTACATTTCACCAAAAATGTATGAGAATATACTTTTCTGCATTGTTCTCTATTGCTCTCTCCCAATCATACTGGGGATTGAACCAATAACCTTTGCACTGAGCAGCACTCCCAGACTATTGTTTATTTTGAGACAGTGTCCCAATAACTCTCCGTGATGCCCAGGATGGGCTCAAACCTGTGATTCTCCTGCCTCAGCCTCCCACAGTGCTGGGATTACAGGCCTGTGCCACACATGTGGCTCTATTGTTCATTTTTTATTTCAGCCATGTGGAAAAACAGGGCAAAGTAAAACAGCAGAGAAATGAACATAGGAAAGAAAACTACATAAATATATTTTAGACATTTAAATATAAATAAAATTAAATAACCATGAGATCTATATCTCTGTATCTAATAGACTGATAAAGCTCCTTTGAAATCTTTGCTGTGAAATTTAGGTTGCTGATCCTTACTGAGCTGACAGGGGCCCCGGGGTAAGGGGCACCACTTTGGTCCGATTTCTCCTCCCTTGCTTTCCCCGCAGCTCCTTTGTTTGCGGAAGGCGGCTGGAGTGAGAGCTGAACGAGGAGAAGAGAGGTGGCTGCATCAATCTTACCTCAGAATTTCTGGCTTGTCTTCTGGAGAAAATTAATCTTAGAATGAAGACAATAGGATGTCACTGAAAATGACTTCACTCGAATTAAGGAGTAAAACTATGCCCTGAAGTCTCGTTTGTAAGCCATCCACTTACAACCTGCACAGCCGGTCTGTGTGAGCGGTCTCAGCCCACAGCGTCTGCACAGGTGGGGCCCTCTGTGATGGGACGCTGAAAGCCCCGGCACGTCTTCACTTCCTTCCCTGGGAGCCAGGTGTTGGCGGTGTGGCTTGAGAAGACGCAAATGGGCTGAGTCCTTCAGCATCAGCTGCCTATGGACTCCCCGGAGAAGCCCCAGACCCACAGAGCACTTTGAAGTAAGAATTCAAATAAATTAAATTTTGTGATGCCACAGATATTTTGGTGTTTTTGATCACAGTCTCCTCAGCCTGTCCTGAGTGGTGTCGTATTCTATGTACTTCTCTCCGAGCAGCCCCTTCCAGCGCCAGCACAGGGCTCACCTCTGCTCCCCGTGTGAGCCGCGGGCTGACAGGAATTTTTTGTTCAGCAAGAGAAGAGAAGTCCTTGTAAAACTGAAAGTTAGGCCCAGGAGGACGGAAGGGCTCTGCACAGGGCACAGTGAGCCTGACCGTGATTAGAAATAAAGTGACCCCACGTGTTCCATTTACTATATTTTAAGGAAAGTTTTGAATAGAAAAAAGGGCAGCATTTTGTCATTCCGTGTACCTAGCTACCTACTGTCTAAAACCGACAAAACTCTACGAATAACTCTTATTAAAAGATCAAACAATTTCTGAGCTTAGAAAATGAGGATACAAGAGACTTAGCAACCTTTCTTGAGAGTTGTTAAATAATAAGTGATTGAAGAGGTTCTTCATAATTTTAATATATATATATTTGAATTTGAATTAAGTTCGGTGAGAGTCTGAATAAGGTAAACCTTTAATAAATTCTATAAAGTAGTGAATCCTATTTTAAAATTATTTTCATAATGTAATTAAAATGACTTAAAATATACTGAAACATTCTGAGTGTCCTAATTCACACAAACACAGACACACATAATAGAGTTTATATATTCAGTAATATTCAGTAATATTATTATTCAGTAATAATATACTGTCCACTTAAATTCAACGATAAACTTATAAGCAAAAAAAAAATCATCTTTTAAAACTCCATTCTGTTAGTTGTGCAGTAGCTTTTAAAATTTTAAGAAAGAGATAGGCATGGAAATGTAAAACTGGATCAAATTCCCAGTTTAATCTTTTTTTTTTTTTTTTTTTTGGTACGGGTAATTGAACTCAGGACCTTACCCTTGCCAGGCAGGTGCTTATGCCACTGAGGTATATCCTCGGCCCTCCCAGTTTACTCTAAGAATACCCTGGGCACCAGCGAATCTCCTGCTGCTCAGCGCATGTCTGTGAAGAGTGGGCCGAAAACGAATACTTCAAAGATGCGCATCTGGTTGGAGTCTTTAGCGTTCCACAGTGCTGCTCTATGCACAAAGCAGTCAGGGGATGAGGGAAGTACCTTTTCTTTTCTAAAGAAGAAAAATGGATTTTGTATTTCCAGAGATCTCCTTCTAAAGTTCTTTTTTAAAAATGTTAATTGTCAGGGGCTGGGGGTTTAGCTCAGCGGCACAGCACCTGCCTGGCAAGCGCAAGGTCATGAGTTCGATTCCTGATACCGGAGAAAAACCAAAAAAAAAGAAAAAAAAATGTTAATTGTCTCAAGGCAATTTTTTAAAACATTTGAGACCCTCAACTGGCGTTTTTCAGGTACTTAGAATTCTACCTTCTTTGAGGAAATAGGAATTCATGATAATTATATTATTATCTTTTGATGTCTGTTGATACTGATTAACAAATTTAATACATTTTGCAATACTTTCAAAGTTAGCAGATTGGCAAATACTTTCATAATAAGCTTGTTTCCCATTAGTATATAAACCCCCACAATATAACTAAGCTCTATTATATATTGGCTACATAAAATTGCTATTTAAATGTTATTTAAAATACTATTTAATTCTACTTGCCTCTAACATTCCTCAAAGCAGCAAATGCAGCAGACAAAAACAAAACATGGTTTTTAAGGTTAGCAAGATTGGGAGAGTTAGGTATTTTCATCTCACAGCTAAATTTTCTTATCTGTAAAATGGTAGTGATTCATATTTGATCAGGATTTTATGAAGAATAATATGTTCCTCAACACCATCAATGGCCTAAAACTTGTCTCAGCTGCTGGTCTGGACTATCCTCAACACCTCGGTATACCTAGTCCAGTTGATCATTCTGCTTCTTTTTTTTTTGTTGTTTTTGTTTTCTGGTACCAGGAATTGAACTCACGACCTTGTGCTTGCCAGGCAGGCACTGTGCCGCTGAGCTAAATCCCCACGCCCTCATTCTGCTTCTTGAAATAATTTTTTCTCCTTATGTTCTGTGATTCTCTGAACCTTGCGTTGGTTTTCCTGCCATCTCCCTGGCCACTTTCTTTAGTCAAATACTATGCTAGGATGGTACAAGTAGTCTCATAAGCCGTTTAAGAGCTTCTTATACTACCTAGAGTCTGGTCATGTGCTAAGAAGACTCAGGTTTGTATCACAGTTTTCTGAGGTTCCAGAATCATACATCTACACCCCTCACACTTAGGTGCTTAGAAGACACTGCAGCCGTAATGTGACTGAAAAAGAAACGCTGATAATCCCTGTAAGCTTCCTTCTTCTCGGGAAATCATCCACCAAATTACTCAGATTAAAAATTTAGGACTAATATTAACCCTTTCATTTCCGCACACCTCATCATACTTCAGTAAATTTAATTAGCTTCACCTCCTGGATATCTTTATCTACTTATTTCTCATCAGTTCTATTGCTACAACCCCTGTCCTAGGTACCATGAATACTTCTCTGAACAACTATAAGAGTCCTCTGATGATTGGTTCCTTTATTTCCACACTTGTCCAGTTGCAGGTTACTTTCTACCAGATAGATAAAGCAGTCTCTTTATAGCATTAACTATGACGTCTTACCCTCCTAAAGCCCTAGAGTGGTTTCATATGAAAATTAGGTTATAACCAACTTTTTGAAGGCTACTCTTTATGAAGCCCTCCCTACATAGCAGGCCTCATCTCCAAGCTTTCTATACTATGTACTCTGATCTTTGTTTTCTACCACACCACCACATTTATTTGCTTCTAGGTTTCTCTGTGTGCTTGGAAAGTACTTCCTAGATTTGTTACAGCTGCCTTTTTCTCAATCATTCAAGTGTTAATTCAAAGGTTGACTACCCAGAGAACTCTTCCCTAAGTACCCTAATGAAAACAGCTCTCCACCCTATTACTCTATTTTATTTGTATAGAAAACTTATCAATCCCTGAAATTGTTTCATTATATCTTTATTTATTGCTTGTTTCCTTGGCTTTTCCTACTATAATATAAACTCTTGGCAGTTAGGGACTAGTTTTCCTACTTAGTGCTCTAAACCCAGTGGCTAGTAGTCTTTGGCATACTGTAAGAGCTGAAGAATGACTGTTAGTGTTACACTGCAACTTCAGTTCCAACATTAATGCAGAAGTGGTGTATTGATAATCTCCTTTTGTCTCTTTATTTTCACAGAAGATGTTACATCTTGATTAAAATTGTTGCTTGTGGAAATATCGGTTAATCTTGACCTAGTTAGGAAGAGGAAAGACTTGTCACTACAGGACTGTTTGGTATTTATGTGTCTGCAGTTAGCATTAATGTGCATAACGTTAGAACCACAGAAATGCCAGGATCTTAGAAATCAACTAGTTCAGCCTCTTCATATTAAAGAAAGTAAACTAACTAGAAACTTACACCCAACTATATATCTTCATTAAGTAATTAGAAATATAATGAATTATATCATTGATTTTTTTTTCTGCTGAAGGCATAAACCATTTTTGCTCTTTAATTAATGCCTGTCTCCTCGCACCTCTTTTCATCTCCTCTGTTCACCTTAATTAAAGGTGTACACGGACTCCACCGATACATAATGTTTTCCCACAGTCAGAATTCATTTTCAGAGTATTGTATCCTAAATGTGGGGTTATCTTTATAGTACCAAAATTTATTAAAATGAACTTTGAAAGACATAGAAGTTTTAAGTGAGAATTAGTGGAATTTTATTTTAGAATTTAGTTTAATAAAATTTTAAGCCACTGTGTCATACTGAATGTAGGTATATTGAGAACCAAAATTTTTCTTTTTAAATTTTATGCTCAGTATTTCTTCCTAGGCATTTAATCTTAGGCACTAGATACTCTGCGTCTGTGAACCCCATGCAAATACTAGTTAGTTGAGAATTTGGCTGCCCATGGAATAATGCTCTTATTTTTACATTTTTATCAGACTACATTATTAAATGGACACCCATATAAGTAAAAGTAATGAAACTAGAATCTCACAACTTGTATTTTATTTTTTTCAAATTCTATTTTAAACATTGAAATATTTAAAAACCAATGAAAAGATTTTAACTGTAGGGAAAAATACTAGAGATGTCAAATGAGCGAGAGAAAAAAAGAAAATCCAGTGATCTTGAGTCCACTTGGATTAACTGTAAGTGAACGAAGAACAAACTGTAGTGAACATCTGTTTTAGGCTCCTCGTATGGTAGCAAAGGAAGAATAAAGTAAGAATTGGTGGATCAAATGCTCAGGAATTTGAAACCACGGGATATTGTACTCCGTTGGGATTCCAGATATTCAGGCATCTGTTAGGTAGCAGGTTCAGCTAAACATGGATCATCAAAGGAATTCCAAAATTATGTTGAGGGCAAGTTTATAATCCATAAAGAAGAAAATCAGTCACTGGGGAAGTTATCCTAGTAGAATGTAACTGTCTGAAATTATTGTGCTATTAAGTAGAAGTTCTTGGAAAGAAAGTATTTTCAAAAGATTTTAACCCTCTTTTCCTTTCCATCCTTAGCTTGCCAGAAAAGAATGCCAGCTGGTGGGAAGCGGGCGGGTGTGAGAAAACCAAGTTAGGATATGCAGAAAGAAAATAACAGTCATCATTAGGTGCTAATGGGCTATCCCAAATAGGCTGTAATTTAAGACAGTTACTTCAGTTATTTCTCAGGTACATTTTATAGTCACAAAGGGTGAGTGGTTTCCTTATTCTTTATAAGTATTTTACTTCCTTATATTATCCTTTAATTCATACATTTTTAGAAGCAGCAACTGAAACAGGAAACTCAACTTTTAAAGGACTAAGGAATATAGACTGGAATCCTAAACTACGGAATTTTAAAAGAAGGTGGAGTCTCACGCTATTGTCACTTGATCATCTCAGGGATAGTAAAACATTCTTTTTTCATTCGACAAGTATTTGTTAACCACCTACTATGTGCTAAGATTTAAGAATACATTGCTGAAGAAAAATAGGCAAAAGTATTTGTGTGGTACTTCCTTTCTAGGAAGAAGAGTGGATCATCAATTTGCAGAAGGAAGACTCAGAATAGGGTGATGATAAGGTGATACCACATTAACTGACCTTTCTTCTTATTAAAGGTACGAGTTCTCTCTGAAAAATGCCTTTTGGGGATATATTATGTTTCATTTTCTCCTTTGTTGTTAGTTACTTTTATTATATACTATGATTGTATGATTATATGATTACTATGATTGATTTATGTATGTTAATACATCCCAAATGTATGTTTATATATGTTGTACCCCAAAAGTTACATTATTAACTTTCCTTTGTGCTTAGCACTTTTTCTTAGATGATAAACCAAAAGCAGCTATAAACTTTCATACCATGCATAAAATGAGAAACGACTGGAAAATATGTACAGAAAATTATCATTTTATTTGCTTTCTGTGAACTACTTTTATTAGTGAGCCTTCATCCTTTGCTCCCTAGTAAGCCCATGAGACCCTGAATTCCTTGGCGTACATGATGAAGATGTTTTGACAAAGGATCAGGAGGACACACAAGTCAGCCAGGAGCCAGAAGCTTTGCACTGTATATCATAGGGCAGGCCCTAACCTGCCTTCCCACTGTACATTTCTCATGAATTTACATAAAGCCCTCTCTGGCCCTCTCCCTTTCCTTTACATATGTATCTCCGTTGTGTGCTTGGAACAATGGTACTTCTAAATCCAGAGAACCACTTGGAAAGTTTACTACCATATTAAAGAAATATGTTGGAAACCACTATATGGCTCTGACACATAGTTGATTTTACCTGCAGATGATACAATTTACAACCTTTTAAAAAAATTATAGCCTTCAAGCTACTGGCTTTAACTCTATATTCTCTTGGCTACATTCATTTTTCACCACTGATTGCCATTGTTCATAGATGGACTGTTATTTAAGTGTTATGTAAGTTCTTTGCTTCTATTCTCTCTCTAGTTGGTATCTTTACATCCTAATCATTTTAGTATTCACTGACAGCTCCATTAGTTGTTCCTCAAATTAATCAATTCTGATAGTTAGCCAATTTAGTTTGGTGTGTGGAGGAAGTTTAAAACATTCGCTGACATGGGTTTGGGGGCCTATGGATAAATTTGACATTGGGAACTTGTAGCAAATTTAGCACAGGTAAAAGACATTAAAGCTCTAACCCTTCTGAACATTCCCAGGGCTTATTTTAATGGGTTAGACGTAGTCTCACCATACAGCTCAGATGGAGACTTCATATTTACTTTTACAGCTCACCTCTTTAAGAGAGAACATTCACAATGGAAAACAGCAGCAAGGGTTAGAAGACTTTAAAAAGGAAGCTGTTAGTGCAGCAGTAAAAATTGGCCAGGTAAAATTTTTTTCTTTTTCTCATTAGCTTTCAATCTTCTTTAGTATTATGACTTACCCAAAACAGACTAGCACTGAATCAGAGCTTTCAATTTTTCAAAAATTATGGCATGTTTGTCTAAGCTCTATTTTAACTTGCCTAACTGTACTCTGGGCTTGAACCTCAATAATTCTTTTATTAACATTTTCAGTATAAGAGCTTCAGATGTAAATGTTTGAGCTATGTCATTAGTCAGGTCTTCTAAAGATTTATTGAACTTGAAATTATTTGAATCTCTTTAATAGCTCCATCAGTATAGAAACATGAGCTCTTATGTTTATGTATTTTTCTTTAAAAAAACCTTTTATTATGAAACTTTCCAAACATAACCCCAAATAGAAGTACAATAAACCCCCATATATCCATTCCTGGCTTAAACAGCCATCAACATTCAGCCTTCTATGCTTATGTTTTAATAACAATGATCACTAAATATTACCAGGAAGAATCATGGTGTGCTGTTTCAAAACTGCTAAGAAGATTTCTTACTTTGGGAAGAACTATGAATTTTGGTGAGTTTCTTTTTTTTTTTAAATTAGAATTTTGAGGGCAATGTACTAAGGAGATGTGCCATACTAAATTTTAAGAATCAGTTCTCATTTTTGCTTTTGGTATCTATTACTTCAAATATTGATGGCATATAAAGTTTTGTTTTCTAAATGTCAGCTGTTCTTTTCTCTATTCCTGGTTCAAAGCCAGCACTGTCAGAAGAGAGACAAGTTGGCAACTAGCCTAAATACCAGTGGGGATTCATTGTCTCATCTGGACTTATATTCTTAAACGCCACCTTAAAAATCTGTAGACCATACTCAGAAGTAAAATAAATCAGACCCCTATGTGTAAACATTGTATTGTTTCACTAGCGTGAGAAACTGAGTGAGTAAATAAGATCCAAAATGCACAATGGATATTGTGAATTGGGAAAAAACTGTTTAAAAGAAAAGATAAACTGTGATGGGGGAAATGGGAAAGGAAGAAAAGGGAAAAAAATATATTTATACACAAGATAGTTAGGATAGTTACACAGCTAGTTTTTCTTAGTTCATTGAAGAGAAAGGTTTGTGCTAACAATGTCTGAACAAGATATCATGCCTATATCTTGTACTCTGAATAACTACTAAGAGGAGAGTAATATGCAATATATTAATTATTTTGAAACTCTTTTATTGTCATTTTTCTCTTTAAAATAAAAAAATCTATAGATAATTAATGCAGCAATCTTGGAAATATTAATTAATAAAGAGCTAATAAATATGTGAAACAGAAAGTCATATAATTAGACTTAAACTGTGAGGTTTTTATTTGAAATTGATTAAAACTTTCAGTGAGTTACTTGGAAAAGAGAAATTCCCACTTCTATGATTAAGTCTTTACTAATTAACTGAATATAAACAAGTCCAAATGTCTGATTACTTATAGATTATCATGTCTAGTTCCATCTCATTTTAATTATCTATTTACAAAATACTTTATTTATGATAATGAAATTAGGCAGATCTGGTCAGATAATGTTGACAAACAGTGGAGAAGTTATTTTTTAGTTTTTAATTTTTATTAATACATATTTGCAGCACATAATCATTACATCGCTTGTCCAGAGCTGGTAAATGTAGATAACATACCTCAATTCTTTTTTCATCCCTTTCTTCCTTCCCTCATCCCTCCTTCCATTTCTTTAGGCTCTTGAAAGGTATACACTTTAGGCATAGATATTTTCTTTATTAAAAATTTAGGGCATTTGTTACTTCATTGTTTATGCATATTAAATAACTTTTTGAAGTCTCCCCGCCCCCTAAAAAAGAAACCTGTAATGGTGCATTAGGAAAGAGGCAGAAGAACTTTCCCAAGCTGAATATCAGACTGAGCAACGTGGTCCTTCTGACAGTGAGAGCGGAGGAGCTGGCTGCTGGCTACCCTCCCGCTGTTGGATGACAATGTCGCTGTGAAACATATGCCCCAGGCTGCTTGCACAGAATGTAACCACATCAGTCAGCCCTTCTTGCCTGAACCTGAGGTCATCATTATTACTTCATTTTTTATTCCTACATGACCCAGGCTAAACTATGAAAGCATTCTGCTTTTCCCATCACCACTCATTATTCTGAAATATAGAAATGACTTCAGAGATTTTTCATGAAATGTATCCTTTTCTGTTCATCCTAAGTGTGTCATTGAAACAGTGCACTAATTTTCTGAGGAATACATCTACCAAATCTAAATAAATCCCAGATGAATCAAATAGCTACACTCAATGCAAATAATCCTTTTGGTTAAAAAGGTAGGGCTGGGGATTTAGCTCAGTGGCACAGTGCCTGCCTGGCAAGCACAAGGTCATGAGTTTGATTCCTAGTACTGGAGAAAAAAAAGAGAGAGACAAAAAAAAGATAGAGATGTAATATTAATAGAACCAGAATAAGAATACTTAGAGAAGGATGTACAGAGTTTGGTGAGCATGAAAACAATTTTTCAAAGAAACAGTTACTGGCTGAATGAGAGAATGCCAGAAATTGTTAACATCACCATCTCAAACAAGATATTTCAAATAATGCAATTTTAACTTCTTACAAAGATGTTTGATGTATGTATGAGTCCAAATACTGCCATGATGTAGTGATAATATTTTAGATCTTGCTTCTGTCTCTTACAGGGGTTGGCTAATTTTTTGTTCTGTGAAAAGCCATGTATTAAATAATTTAGAGGTTTGAGGCTGTGCTATCTACTGCAACTCTCAGTTCTGCCATAGTAAGGTGAAAACAATGATAGTAAGTTAATGAATGCGCTGCATTCCCGTTAAATTACACTAAAATTTAACTTTTATATAATTTTTATGTATTGCAAGCATTCTTTTGAATTTCCTTCACTATTTGATGGCAAAAGGAAATCATAGATTTTAGTTCAAACAAGAAAAAGCTACTGGGCTGGACTTGGACTATGGACCATAGTTTCCTGAAAGTGGGTTTAAAAGAGGTTTTCACAACACTGTGAGTACCACTAGCAGCACCTAGGAAAAGTTTCAAAATGAAATTCTCCAGCTTTCTCCTAGACCCACTGAATAATCAGAAATTCTCTGGTGTGGGGGGGCAGCAAATGCGTTCACAAGCTCTCCAGGTGATTCTAAGTCACACTGAAATTCAAAAACCATCCGCCTATAGATGATGCTTTTTAACCACTTTGAGTTCTGTTGATTTGAGACAGTAGACTGACAGTATAAGCCTGATATTTACCTACTTCAGTAGTGCTAGACATTTGGCTAGCTGTTATAACCAGGGTTGATAAGCTGGTTTTAAATCTGGTCGTATCACTCCTTCATTTTAGAGAGATGATTAGTGATGCAAAATATTCTTTTGCAAGAATTTTGAGATCAAACTAATTGAAGGAAATGAAAAATGGATAATTCTAGTCTTTATCTACACTGACAAAACATGAAGATTAAGAAAGTCAACCCTCAGTGATGCGAGAGAATGGTTTTGGAAAACAGGATCTCTTTAATGCTAACACTTCCTTTGACATGTTGGTAATTAGAAACTATAGAAACAAAGTTTCTGGTACCACAAATTCTATAACAAATCAATTCTTATCAAAAGAAAGAACATCGTGGGGCTGGGGATTTAGCTCAGTGGCACAGCGCCTGCCTGACAAGCGCAAGGTTGTGAGTTTGATTCCCGGTACCGGGAAAAAAAAAAAACCAAAAAGAAAAAAAAAGAAAGAACATTGTATGAATGTACATTTTTAGCCTTTCTTTCCTTCCTTCCTGCTCTCTTTTTTCTTTTCTTTCTTTTTCTCTCTCTTTCTTTCTTTCCTCCTTTCTTCTTTTTGTGACAGGGACTAAGTAACTCCAGCTGGTCATATCATTGCTTCATTTAGGAATTCCTTCATGCCTTCCTTCATTTGACCTTGAGCTCATCCTGCTTCAGCCTCAAGAGAGCCAGGATTACAAACTGGGAATATGAGTCTGTGCTATCTTGTCCAGCAACACAGTGTTTCCTGTCTTTCTTTTCTCCCTGAAGCATGAATGGAGTAAACCTGGCCACACCCACCGGCGTGGTCAGAGCCAGCTGCTCAGTGGCCTGAGGGCTGGTGCAGAAAGGACTGCCAGGCACCTGAAGAAGGTGAACATAATGTTAGTTTTTAAAATAATTGATTTGTTCTTTTGTAAGCTGTCATGGGTATTAACAGCAAGAAGCTGTTAACATTTCTTTGACTTTGAGCTTAATATAGTGTGAAAATTTCTAAATAATCACGAGTGAACAGCAAACAATGAAGTTAAGAGATAATATTTTTCATGAACATGGATTTCTTAGCAAGTCATAATACAATGGAGAGAGTAAAGAAGAGTCTACCTTTCTTACAATTATCTAGATAAATACATTGCTGTTTGGCTATGATTCATCTGGGCATCTAAGACTATGTACAAAACATTCTGAATGTTAATTTTGCTTTTATACATACGTATTTTATTGCAGATGTTCATGAAATTTCTGGGGTAATAGTGAGACTCGTAACATCCCGATCATGACCAATGAATCTGCAAAGCCAGATAAAGTTATTCCATTAGCTCAAGCAAACATGAAATTAAAACAGAAATTATAAAAGAAAAGTGCTTGGGTAAGTTCTGAGTATTTGAATGTTTTGTTAAATGTTTTCCTGTGTTTTGGTATTTTAACAAAGACCGCATGATTATTTCTTGGTTACGCTCACTCTGATTGCCATTTCGATGATAATCTTTGTACATAAAGGTCAAGCATTTTTCCAGATTTTTATTTTGTCATTTTAGCTGAGATTTACAAGAAAAGCAGTGGTGCGAATTCACAGCATGTGTCTTTGCAGCATATTGGAACATTTTTGACAGCTGGGTATTTCAGATAGAGACAATATTTAGATTTCATTTTTGTATCTTATTTAACATTTGAAACCTTAGAATATTTCTTTATTTGGTAAGATACT